TGTGTGTGTGTGTGTGTGTGTGTGTGTGTGTGTGTGTGTGTGAGATATACACATATGCATGTGTGTGTGTGCCACAAGACTTTATTTTGGTGTATATTCTATGACTATTTTTAAAAATGCACAAAATATGGGGCTGAAGAGATGGTTCAGCAGTTGCGAGCACTGACTGCTCTTGCAGAGGACCTGGGTTCGATTCCCAGCACCTACATGGAGGCTACAAACAATCCTTCACTCCGGTTTCAGGGGAATCCAAAGCCCTCTTCTGACCTCCATTGCATTGCATGACACAGGTGCACTCACATACATGCAGGCGATGCACTTATACACATAAAATAAAAATATTAAATAAAATATTTTTAAATGTATAAAATATGCTGTTGGGCATTAAGTTAATGTTGATTACACCTTATTATTGATTATGATTTTGTGTATTATGCTGGCTTTATTTCTGTTGGTCCCTCAATTATTGATACAGAGATGAGAGAAGAAGCCAGATATCAGGGTGGAGATAGTCTGCAAGAGAGCAACATGAGAGGTAGAATCATTTCCCAGAAAGATCCCTAGTGTAGTGATAATCTGAAATATACAACTGGATTCCTAGATAAAAATCAGATTAGAAATCCAAACACAGTATGAATATCACAGTATGAAAATGCCAATGTGACATACTTGTTCACAATAGCAGAGAAGACATTTTGAATGCTTGACAAGAAAGAACACTTTTGATAAATAAAATCAGTAGATTCAAATAATTTTAATGGCCAGTAAAGTTTGACATGTAAGGACAGTGCATGTTTGATGAGAACCATAGGACACATGGATGGGAACATGTTTTGGTAGGAAGCATGGACTTGGGAGAGTTTGGCAAATGGAATTCAAACATAGGGCACCACGAATCATTTTGAGATTTCTAACAGCAAATTGAAAATGCAAAGGTCAAGCAAATAGAGGAAAAATGATTTGCAAATCCAATTTAAAATGGTAATACTTAAATCTATCTAGAAGAAAATTATCCAGGAAATATAATCAGAATGAAAGCATGAGGCTCATAATGTGACCCTAATTTCCCCTATATTTAGTTCCAAAGAACGAGAAATTAAGAATGGAATGTGAGAACAATTGTGAGAAAGGAAGAAAATGCAGAGTGTTCCATTTAACTCCAGAAATATAAATTAAGTGCTTGATGTACACAGTGCACTCTGGTAGAGACCTACTTTGGATATACTTACACTCTTGGTGATGAAAACAGATCATTTCAGTACAGTATGGTCAGTTCTACAATAGACATATGCACAAAAGACAATGGGACCACATAAACGGCACTTAATACAGACAAAGAAAGAAAAAATTTCAAGAGATGATATCATATAAGCAAAGACCTCAAGAATAATAAAAAATATGAGGGTAAGAAAGACAAAGGATTAGTTACACCAGGCAATATAAATGGCACAAATAGCAAAAGGGCATGGAAACAAGAGAGAAGAAAATATTCCAAAAAGAGATTAGTCATAATGCCTGAAAGCTGCTAAGAAATGTAATCAGATTGACAAAGGTCTTTTATTTTGCCACTTAGGAAGTCACAGCTGACCTCTGCTACTGCAACTTCCCGAAGTGTGGACTGAAACCAGATTATAGCAAAATAAAGACTGAGTGGATAAGTATGAAGCACTGATGCTCTGGATAGGCCATTTTTCAAGGAGTCTAGGTACCGTAGAAGAAAATAAAGATGCAATAACTAGAAGTGGGCAAAGGTTGAAAAGGGCTTTGTTCTGAGACCAGAGAATTAAAAATATAACAAGCATAGGAAAGAAAGCAGAATTCAGAGAAATGGGTTCAAATATAGCTTGTTGTACACACAGTAAATATTTATAAATCCCCTGTGCTGGTCTTGAAGGCATAATTCAAAGATAATGACAAATAGCCACGTTTATCATTCTAAGTATCTTAATGCTAAGTTCAACTTGATAACCATGTGTACTTACAATATTGAGTTTTGCTTTGCCCTGTTTGTATAAACAATGTCATGTTTCAATGTAATCATTTAGTGTTAGGATTTATTTTATTTTATTTTATTTTTTGTTCCAAGAGGAATGTCTATCTTAATAAAAAAAAATTTTACCTGTTACAAGGACTAGTATGGAACAAAAGTGCTTTGATTGTTTCCTGCATAATTATTATAAGCACCCAAATGCCTATCATGTCTCCAGTATACAAACACATAGTACAAGATAAGTGAGTAGTGTGAGATGGCTTCACATATTTTGATGTCAGTCACAATATTTTCACAGACAGAAAATCAGCCAACTAAAAATCATGAAGTCTTCAAGTCATGAAAAATGTAGGATAATTTCATGAATATAGAATTTGGTCTCACATGTTTTACACATTCATTGAGTATCCAAATCTTATTTTTATGGAAAAAATAAACATCACCTAATACTTTTCTGTACACCCTTTGTTCCTTGATCTGATGTTTTCTTGTCTGATAGTCAGAAAACTGGATGTGAAAGAGAGTCTAGTCTGTGTTTGAGAAGCTGCCCACCCTTCTAACAATGCCAAATATTTAAATTTATTTCTGATTAGTCCCAAAATATAACCCTTTATAACTGCATACGATGAGTGCTAAATAACATACTGCATAAATATACAGTAGCTCTTTGAACATCAAAAGATACTTATAGAATATTCACATTAAGCATATTCCTGTTTAAACTACTCCCAAAATTTTATTTCTTTCTTATATATTATTTTCACCATGGGCACATTCATTTATTATTTATATTTCTCCTCTCTATTAACTGAAAACTAATTTTCAAGTGTGGATAAGTAAAGTAAGATTAAACCACTGAACATGGTGGTTACTTTTAAAGCAATCTTATTAATAGTTCCTTTTAGTGATAATATTATGAAGAAATTTAAGGTATAAACTATAGACAATTTAAGAGTCTCTTATTTCCTATCTGCAATTTTTTTTAATTGTTATTTGTTACTTTTATTTTATGTGTATGCGTACATTGGCTGCATGTAGGTAAGTGTACCCGTGTCATGCAATGCCTGTGGAGGACAGAAGAGGCTGTCAGATCCCCTGGAACTGGAGTTACAGAGTTGTTAACTGCCATGTGGGTGCTTGGATTTAAACCCAGATCTTCTGTAAGAACAACCAGTGTTCTTAACTGCTGAACCATCTCTCCAGACCTTACAATATGTTTTTAAAATATTTATTTTCAGCTGTGGTGGCGCACGCCTTTAGTTCCAACACTCAGGATGCAAAGGCACATGAATCTCTGAGTTTGAGCCTAGCCTGGTCTACACAGCGAGTTCCAGGCCAGCTGGAGCTACAGGAAGACCCTGTCTCAAAAATACCAAAAAAAAAAAAGATTTCATTTTCATTTTTTATTTATGTGTATGTATATGTGTGTGAGTATGTGTACATGTGCTACAAATGCCTGTACAAGCCAAAAGAGGTTGTTAGATCCCCTAGGAACTACAGTTAGAGGGTTTTGTGATCTGTCTTACACATGTTCTGGAAAGTGAACTCTGGTCCTCTGCAAGAACAGCAAGCATGCCTACTTCCATTCATTTTAATTTAAATTTAAGAATATAAATATTTATATATATTTCCATCTTGTTAGATTTGTCCGAAAGTCCATGATTATATTCAATGATAATTTAGCAGTCACATTTATTATCCCCCCAAGACTTAAAAAATTTTAATTAACATTTATTTATTATTAATATTGTGTATGTGCATGTGTGCATGTATGTGTCACAGTGTGCATGTCAAGATAGGAGAATAACTTCTGGGAGTAAGTTCTCTCCTTCCACCATGTGGTTCCAGAAATCAAACTTAGGTCATCAGGCTTGTTGACAAGCACCCTTACCTGCAGAGCCATCTTGATGGCCCATGATTTTGACTTATAAATCTGATGAGTATGTTGTCTACATTTTCAATAAGTCACTGATAAAATTAAAAAGAATGGGCACATGTGGAGAATTTTCTAATACACACATAAAAACCTTATTTCAAGGTAGCGTTAATCAGAATTTTCAAGCACTTAGATATTCAACTTTGAATCTAGTCAGTCTACAGTTCTTTCCCTCTTTTATATGCTTGGCTGTTATTAGAAGCCATGGAAAATATTTTGCCAAAATTAGTCAAAATATTTTTGGAAATCTACTGATTCTGTCAAAACACAGAAAGGTGAATTTACATTGATTATTTTAAGGTAACTCTTTTCAAGAATTAGCATCAGTTTGATAATATCACTTAGAAGTCTGTTGGGCTGATACTTGTTAACAAGCTGAAGCTTGTTAATATATGTTCTCCAGAATTTATTTTTATTGGCTTTGTTCTTCAGCACAATTGAAATAGTTGGGTATTAATTCCTTCATATCCATTTTTCTTTTGAAGTGATATTTTTTTAATTTTTAAAAATTTTATTATTTTTATTTTATGTGTATGCGTGTATTGCCTGCATGTAGGTAAGTGCACCCATGTCGTACAATGCCCACAGAAAATGGAAGAAGATATAAAAGTATCTCCATTCACCAACAAAGTTTTACTATTCCTTTCCATGACTACTTTAATAAGAATGTTTAGTAAAATTGCTTCTCTTTTGTTACCTCATAAAGAACTGTTGTGTTCCCATGTAGAAGAGGTCCATAACAGATGTAGGAATGTCCAACAACCCAGCCTAAGTCAGAAGCTGCCCACCATACCTAAAGAAAAAAAGATAATAAAATGCATGTCCTAATCAGAAAATTTCCAGGTAGTGTAAGCTTAAATCATGATTACCTCTCCAGGTTTGAGTCCATATATAGAAGACATTGTCCAGTTCAGCATTACAGCATATCCCCCAGTTGGCCTAACTACACCCTAAAGGAGGGAGAAAAAGGAAATTAAACCCAATGAAATATCTTAAAAGATTCACTGTCTTCATACTAGTTTAAAATTTCCAGATTTAAGTTAATCCACATTCTGCAAGCATCAAAAGACTTTGACTCATAGTTGCACTTGAATTATTATTTCTTTGACTTTCTTAATAAGAAACCCAGGAAGCTTGTCTTTATCATTTCCATTACAAAAACTATTCTTACTTGGCATCCTTGACCTTCTAAGAAAACATGTAATCTCATGAAATCATATACATTACAAATTTTTCAATTGTGATATGCATGATCAATATTACATTGTCAAATACATTAATAGAACAAAAATATTAGTATCAAAATTAAATGCACAAGAAATTAACTGAAGTTAGGTGCCTAAGATGCAGATTAACATAAGAAAATCTTTTCCTTATGATGATTAAATAGTAATTGGATGCTTAGAGGAAATAAAGTCACATTATAATTATAGCCTGATTACAATGCTAAATGTGAAATCATACAAGCACGGTATTAGAGTTGCACAATCCTTTAATGACAATCTCCAGAACACTGAGGAATGAATCCTGATGAAGTAGCCTCAGGGCTAACAGATGTGGTTTAGATTGCATTTGGAGAAAATCTAAGGATGACTACATCATTACTGTATAGTTTTCACAAATCAGTTTCCAGTAGCTTTTCTGAACACTGGACAAATTCAAACTCAATAGAAGATTCATATTGGAACACTGGGCACAGGTATTTTCATAAATATGAACTAATAGAAAATATAAGAATTAAGTCTGTTTACTGCACCATTACAAATATGAATGATAATTAACACTAATAGATGTAACCATGTGACTATCAGATGAGTTGGCAAATGCCTGTTAAAGAACACCAGCTACATGAAATTCTCAATCTTTCAAAGCATCTTTGAGTGTATACTGATTAGAACTACTCTATGCAAAACATTATTTTATATGGAAGGATAAACATGCCCTTATTAATAAATGTTCTATTAGTTGTACATTTTAGTATAGCTCTGTAGATTTAACACATATACGTGATTCAGGAGACTGAAAAGTGCCTGACTTCACATTCGTTCCTAAAATTGCTGCTCTCCTCAGGTACCCCTAATAAAACATAGGTATCAAGCTGTGGAACATATTGTATCCACCAACAACACCTGGTCTCTTGGCAAATATCAGATGTAGCTTTGTTAGCATTTGAGAGCTATTTTCTATGCCGTGTGACACAGTGAGCATGCAGCTGCCTCTCAATCACCTAGGAAATATTAGAAATCCTAAGTCCTTTTCCAGCAAACCTTCTACATGCACTTACCCATGAAAACAGAGTAACTGTTTTCCGTGCAAATTCTAGTCTATCTTCCATGCACTTTGCAAAGTTGTTCAAGTTAAATGTGATTTCCTACAGCTCAGTAACTTCATGTATTTAGTAATAATTTTTTTTTCATTTTTACTAATACCTCTCAATCATCTTGAAGAAGAAAAACAATTTTCTTTTGGAGTCTATATGTTCTCCATGTGTTATAGGAGACACCAATATTTAAAGTCAGTAATGATTTCAACTATGATGTTTTAGGATTTTCCTTTTATCCTACTTGTAAATGCATTTAGATTCATTTTCATAAAGAATTTAAATATTATTACAGTAGAGTAAATTTTAGGTGATAAAATACATTTACTTTAAATTACAAAGAAACTTTGGGAGACACAACTAAATATTAATGCAAGTATAAAACCCAGAAGACAAATTTAAAGGATGAGTTAACAGATTTCTATTTCTCCCTCAATGCTATTTTTTTCATATGAATCTTACCAATTTTACTATGTAAATTAGTTAATCCTTGACTCATCTGACCAAAAAAAACAAAAACAAAAAGTGAACCTTAATTAACCAGATTTTTCTTGGAAGAGCATGACATTTTAAAGGCTAATATTTATTTACCTATTTATTTTCATGATGGGGAATGAACTCAGCACCATGTGCATGCACATGCTACACTTCTAGCCTAAAATGTAACTTATTTTTCATGTGTATGAATGTTTTGCTTGCTTGTATGTTTGTGCATCACATGTATATCTGGTGATCCTCAAGACCAGAAGATAGCATCCGATACCCTGAAAATGGAATTGTAGATGGTTGTTAGCTGTCATATCTGCACTGAGAACCTAGACTGATCCTTTGCTAGACCAGAGTACTCTTATCCATAAAGCCATCTTTCGAGTCCCTAAAATGTATTATTTTAAGAAAATGCTATTTTCCTCAGATCTGGATATTGTGATATCACCCAAACAGGAAAAAGTATCCAATAATTAGAAGTTATCATCAAAGATTCTTATTAAAAATGATAAAAATGGAGCAGAATGAGATAGCAAACTGTAATTGGTCTCCATTGTTCTTGGGTGCTCTCCTTTTCAAACACTGAAAACTCTAAAAATTTACTCAAGCAACAGTTTACTAAGCTTCCCAAAATATTCTGATAATAGACTTTAAAATGTCTGAGCATTTTTTATGGTGTAGAAATAAAGAGCTATGCATCTCCATATTCTCCTTGTAGATATTTTATGAGGAATTTAAAAGTAAAAGAAGGAGCTAGAAAGATCGCTTAGTGGTAAGGAACACTGATTGTCCTTGCTGAAGGCCCAGGTTCAAATCCTACCACCCACATGGTGGCTGCTAATCATCTGTAACTCCAGTTCCAGGGGGGTCACACTCCCTCTTCTGGCCTTGGGAGGCACTGCATGGCATGGGCACACTTACATACATGCAGGCAATAAATATGTTCGTATACATAAAAATAAAATTAAAATTAAATATAAAAGAGAAAAAATGGATACTGGGAAGGGAAGAGTCAGTCTCTTTTAAGGATTTGACTCTAGGTAGGTTAACCAGGCTCCAGTAAATGGATGCACACTGAAGGATATTGGGAAAATCAACTTTCCTCTATCAATCTTTAGATCTATAAAGATTATATATATGAAATTGGGAAGTGGTACAAGGAGGTGAAGACAGAGTAGAGGATCTAAAACCAATACAATACATTGCATGAAATTCACAAAAATTAAATTAAAAAAAGAAAAAATCGGCTATTATGAACATAAATTTGTGAATAATGCAAGGAGACAAAAGCATTTTTGTTTATTTCAATGTCATGTTTCCAGGTGGCGATAATTGTAGTGCAAAGAAGAAGCCCTGTTTAGCCTTAGAACACAAAAGTCATGTTCACATAAAGGAATCAATCTCTGTTAAGTAAGCCATATTAATCAGAAACTAGAATTAACACTTTTAAAAAGAGATTGGTTCTTGCTACATTGTCTGGACTGTCCTGGAACACCTGCACTCTAGCAGTCACCCTGCCTCTATCTTCAAGCAGCTTGGACTACAGGTGTGTGAGCAATGCCTGACTCTAAAATGAATACTTTTAAAGTATATATTAAATATTGTGGCAAGGCAAAAATACTTATTTGAGAATGAGGCTTACACTAAAATGCAAGTTTGGTGTATTTCAGTCTTTATGTGTCTGTTATTACTTTCTACCTGTATTTGTATTTTACCTATCTTAAAGAGAAAAGCCTTAGGTGATCTAATATAGTCTCAGAAAAGCCCTATGCTCTCCCAGCATGCAGTCTTTGGATTCTCTTTGCAGGATCAGTCATAACCCTTAGCATACAGAGAAGCATGTAGAGGAGTTAAAGAACCTTCATGTGATAATATTCTGTGCCTTGAACAAGACATGAAATGAATTCAGTTTCAGAAGGGGAAATGAGACCTATGCTGCATGCATATTCTTACCTAGACATTATTTGGAAAGAAAACCAGTCCCGAGTCATATGTGATGGAAAGTTAATGTATTGTATGAAAGTTTGCCATTTATAACAACAAAAAATAAAAACTACTAATGATAAAAAATTATTTAAAAAAGAAAATGTATGGGACTGGGGATATGGATCAATGGTTAAGAGCACTGGCTGCTCCTCCAAAGGACCCTGGTTTGATTCTCAGCACCCACATGGCAGCTGACAACCATCTGTAACTCCAGTTCCAGGGGAATCTGACAGCGTCTTCTGAGTCCGCAGGCAATGTATGACATGGGTGCACTTACATAGATATAGGCAATACACTCATACATGTAGAAACTAAAAACTAAAAAATAAATAAAATATTTTTAAGAAGAACATGTAAAAGTACTCTTCCTGCTCTTTTTATTTTTTGAACACATAGAAATGTATACACATTGAAAAAAATGAAATTCAAGGTCTGTAAAAATAAAGGGCGGTTGCTATTCCAAGAATACAGACCATTGCAGAGGGTTCTTTAACTCCAGCTTACTTGGCTGCTTTTGATTCTGAGAAAAGCCACAAAGTACCATAAATTGCAACATTAAATGGAGACAGAAAGTGAGTCTCTAGGAAGTATTGTGTATAGCTTCTGCTACTGCTGCCTGAAAACAAAAGATGAAAATGACACAAAAACGTTGAAGAAGAGAAGAGGAACTGAGATGTGTGGTGAGATGAGATGAGGTGTGTAGGATATGTATTCTCAACGCGCGTGTGTGTGTGTGTGTGTGTGTGTGTGTGTGTGTGTGTGTTTAAACTGTTGTATAAAATTTGGGAAGGTAATCTCAAAACACTAACTATAAAACAGTTTTCAATACATAATAAAATTTCATACTACGTAAGTTGAGCCCCTCTGTCATTTACTCTGTATGAAAGGTTCATATTAATATGCATATTTATATGATTATATGAATATTTATCTTCATATACACATGTAAATATGTATTTTAGGATGTATAAATATTAGTGTGAATAAGTATAGACACATTTTATATGTATGTATATTTTTGTGCATATGTGTCTATGTATATAGTTTACTCACCTTGACAAATTGAGATCAAAATCAACAAAGGGGCTGGAGAGATGGCTCAGCAGTTAAGAACACTGACTGTTCTTACAGAAGACCCAGGTTCAAATCCCAGCACCC